AGCGATTCTATGGGTTGGTCACGCACCGAATACCGGACAGAACGCTATTATTTTTCTACGTCCGTGGCCTCCAGCGGGTCGATTTAGTTTTCAGCCGGAAGTGTGACCGACGCGAGAGCCTGACGGACTATCGATTTTATTACCTGACGCGCCGGGGACGCGCGAGCCTCGCCGTTACACGCCCGGCGCGACAATACGCGACACGTGACACCCCGGAATAAAGAATAACCGTGGACAGAACGACGAAGAAAAAAGGGCACCGGTAGGGCCGGCGCCACGGTGTCAAATAGTCCCGTCGTGTTCCAGCTACCAGCGACATCGAGTGCTCGTTAGCGACCGACCGACGTAGAACAAGAGACGAGGGCCTTGAACGATGCCCCGACATTTTACAACACGCGCCTCCTATGGCTGTACCATTTCGCGCGTCGATTAATATTAAACCTAACGACGCAAGGATATTTTGAATTCGAAAATCCAATCCATAGAAACGCGGCACGAAATTGCGGGGTCGAAGCGTAAGAAGCGCCGCGCGTAGGGAAGTCGGGGGACGCGGGTGGAGGCGAGTCGCCGGAAGAAGTGGAGGAAAGCTCGGAGTAGTGGTTCGAGGAGCCATGCGAAGGAGAGTTTGAAGGGAGAGAAGAGGGCATAACACAATTACATGCGGGGTTGAAGCCGGGCCGAGCTTGCTCACGGCGGCACGACCTTCCGGCTAAGGCAGGGGCGAGGGAAAGAGCCCAACGGTGGGTGGCAAGATTGAATATGAAAGTTTAATGCGAGCAATATCAGCGCCGCTGCCCCGGCCCTCGGCTACTCGCTCTCTCAGACGTCTCGACTATCAGGCTGCCCATCTTGCCCGTATCTCTCTTTATATCGTGGCCGCGCTCGCAACGGCCCGCTTCTTCCCGAGCAGATTCCGCTCCCGGAGAAGTGCCCCAGCCAGAAAGCGCTTCCGATCTTTGATGTCACGGGGGATGGCTGTTTCGTCGTCGCGACGCTGTTTTCGCCTACCAACACCCCCCCTAGAGTCTCCTCGTCCTTCTGACAGGAAGATACAGATCGACGTCCACTCGAGTCCTCGTGGAACCAGACGAACCGGGCCCTTTGAAATCGTTCCGCGACACACGGAGTGCAGGATCCATCGACTGCTTACGGGAATAACTTCCACTCCTAGAAATCCTCTGCCAATGACGTTATCTAGCTTTTTATTTCGAGCATCTTTGACAAGTGACTCACAAGTGGCCATACTGTTTTTGATTTTATTTTGTTCGTAACTTTATCGAGCCGATCCGAGAAAGGAACAATTTTTATTCAGACGCGAGCAAGTTGTATTAAAATCTACCGGCAGATTCGAAACCTTTTTCGCCAAAAAACTAAGCCCCGTGCGGAAAAATTGTTCCACAATTTCGTCACAGTTTCGCAGGAAAAGTTTCCCCCGTGTCCATACCGGGAATTTTTGTAGGTTTCCTGTCCACCGTCGTCCAGTCGCGTTCGTTTCTCTTTTTCCCCGCGGTCGATAATTCGGCGACGGGGAACAAGCAATTAGAAGAACAGAGAAACGAAACGGGGACGCTGATTACCGTTTATACCAGGAAAGATAATTATCAATTAAAAACTAACTTTCGCGAGATATTTTGCTTGCGGATGGAATTCACGGTCTCGCTAAGGCGTTTAGCGACTGTGCCTTCGGCTATTTGTAAAACTTTCCTCATTAATTACCGACAAGATTCAATCCCCTCGTCTCTTCCATACTAACCCCGAGCCCCCGCCCCCCCTCTGTGCCCCCCATCTTTTCCCGCTATTGCTCTACCCCTTTGTCCTCCGCCGCGGAAGGAAGTTTAATAGTGAATTAGATCGCGCGTTCTTCCAACGGGCAATTATCTGCCAATTAACAAGACGGATATCGCGTCGCCTTTTCCGTCGAGTCACGTTATCAGCCAGCAATGAGCGAGCACTATCCGGAAAAATTATTCAAAGGGGTCGTGACGTTGTTTGCCAGAAGCCAACTTCCGTTACGCGCCGGTAACGTTACTTCCGCCCCCGCAACCTGCAATTACGTACTGCGACAGAAAATTAATTTCAGTTCTAGGACGAACGAATAAAGCTCGAGCTCGAACAAAGCGAAACTTACGACGGAATAATGCCACTTTTGGTCCAAATAAAACACGATTTCTCTAAAAAAATAATATTTACGCGTTTCGTAATTCGAAATATGGAATCCGACACTCGTCCAGTGTTAATATTTTCCGGATCGCGTGCAATCTGGCGTGCAAAAATATATTCTCGGCTAAAAAAACGAAACACGATCCCGATCGGGCGATTGCAAGTCGTTCCGATCATCTCCGAATCGTTGCCCGCTCGGTTTGGGAATGGCGTCGCGACCGTCATCGTCACGGGCCGTCGCATCCTGTTTACGTCCACGCATCCCGCGCGAAGCGGCTCGCCGATTGGCTGTGACGATCGTCCGTTGGTCGCGTGACGCCAGGAACGGTCCGTCACGTCGGAATATTCTTGTCGACGAAGCCAGACGTGCCGTGACGCGGGGAATGACAACGCACGCAGCTCGATCCGGTCTCCGGTTCACGGACACCTTTACGCCCGGCATTCGGGTCGCACGGTTCAACAGGCGCAATTGCAGTTTCATTTCGCGCAGTCCGCGGGTTAAGCGTATCCCCGTTCGCTGGCAGCCGCGCGGAAACATCTAAAAACTCCGCTGTTTGCTTTCGTTTCCGAGGCTCTCCGTTTCTCTTTAGGCGACGCATCTCGTCGCGAACGAACCCAGCTCCGGTTGTCGGAGCAGCTCGAATCTGTGTCACGGTTAAAAACACACGACCGTGTCTGCGGGAACGTACGATGGAAACGTACCACTCGTCGGTCGAGCCTCGGTTTTTTACGTTCCGGCGTCGTGCCTAGACGGCACGTTTACACGCCGCGAGGAACAAGGGATTTTGACACTGATAATTCCCCGAAAGCCTGCTCCAAACTATTCCGTGCAGAGCTGGAATATAGTTGGTCTTCGTTTTTACACTAAACCCACCGCGAATGGTCAAAGGATCGTTTCTAACATTTCGTTTAGAATTTCTAACACACGATATTATTTTGGCGCCATTTAACTTCACAAATGAATTTTACAATATTCACTTCTATTCCTCTTGTTTGTTTTCTGTGGAAAATATGTAGTCTGTCTTGCCTATCACGACCGGTCTGATCGGTTGCATAATTTAGATTTTTTTGTAAAAAGTGAAGAAAATTTATCAAATTCTGTATAGCCTCCGATGTAAATAGGAAACATATGTACAGCAAAGACGAAAGGAGAGAATCTTCGGTTTCCACTGTCTTAGAACAGTCTAAGAACGCGTATCAAAATAGTTGAACTTTAGACGCCTGCAGTTCCGAAACTATTAGTGTTTTATGCATTATTGAGCCACCATTGGCAGCGGTGAAGCCTCCCCTTTAAAATGGCTTTTGGTTTTTGACGATCCGACTTCCCGTTTCGGAGATATCGTAATTTATGTAAAAGGTAATTTTTTTAATTCCGTTCTCCGCCTTAGAAAAGGCTATTGACGCGTATTAAAAATAGTTGAACTTTAGACTCGTGCAGTTTCGAAACTATTGGTGTTTTATTAATTATTAAGCCACCGTTGGCAGCGGCAAACCTTCCTCTTTGAAATGGTTTTTGGTTTTTGGCGATCCGACTTCCCGTATCGGAGATATCGTAATTTATGTAAAAGGTAATTTTTCTTAATTCGACTATCGCTGTCTCCGTCTGACGCGTCGCGCCTGACCTCCTTGTCGCACGTTGACCGAGTGATGAATGACTGAGTGACGTCACGTTTACTATTTACTACGGTCACGTGCGGTCAACGGCCTTGACAAGGCCGTAGTAAACAAACGCCTCGGACACTTATATCTCCGAAACTAGCCACCGCATCGACGCGAAACTAAAATCGTCATATCTCCGGAACTAATAAAGCTATCGACTCGTACAAACTCTCATTTTAAAGGGCATTTCATCCCCAATCTAATGAGCATATAAACAATTATAATTCATTCTGCCTTCTATGTTTATTTTCACATTTACTTTGACGCTACATACCGAATGTAGTTTTAGCAATTCCTACTGATCGTACGACTAGTACACGATAAAATTGCACCATAATTTTTTATTTAATCGAAGATGAATTTAAACGAGCGTCGAGGGATTGGCGTGTCTTAATTTTCGAGACATTCGGTTGACGTCGATGGAGAAAATTGACTTTTTGACGGTGAATTCTTGAACCACCGCGCTCCGAGCGGAGTAGTTTAGCCGTGCCGGAGTCAGACAACTTAGGCAAATGCGGGTCAGGGCAACGACGCGCGTCGAAGTGCTCCGGTCCGAAAGCGAACTTGGAAAGAATGGCGGAGGTAGTCCGGAGGCTTCCAGCACGGTTCGGTGACGCGGCGCTCGGAGAGCAGTAAAACGAGATGATGGCTGTATCGCGAGAGCACGCCACTCCCGAGATGACTCCGGAAGATACGTGACGGCTCTCCGTGTACGCGATCCTGTTTGCGTCATGCTTGCGTCGGTGGCCAGACACCGAACGAACACGCGGATAGGTGTTCCGGAAACCCGATGAAATCCAGAATCCCGGAATCAGGAATCAACCGATCCCCCTAGTGCTCCGTACGTTTATGTTCCCGGTCGATCTTGAACAATCGTATTTGCGTCACGCGTCCAAGACTGGCTCGATGCCGGACAATCCGATGGACAACATGGACGCGTTCGAACGCGTGTTCGACGCGTTTGGTCGATGAAATGATGGGTTGTAGGTGGCAAGAGAATCGTGGTAATGTCGGATAGTGGGTATACAGGACGATTCACGATAGGTGTAACCGCTGCTACGATTGATAGAACCAGAATCTGTGTCATAGCGCAAGGGTTGAACATGCTCCGTAAATCTAAACGTCGAAGCTCGTTTATCGTATCGAGACGTTGTAAACCGTGAAAATTTCGTGGCTCGCAGGTGTCGGTGACCGTTCGTATCGCACTGGTTCGGACACGGAGGGCGCAGCGACCACCGATAATCCGACGACGCCGTTCCCGACGCCGCCGCCAACCTTGACGCCGAATCATCGCCAGGCATCGCCGTTTCCCCTCGAGAGCACCAACTCTCGCCGACATCATTACAACGGGAGCATATCATCGGAGAGATCCCGGAACGGTAACTGTACGGGGTTAATTAGCGCCGCGAGCGGATTTCGCTCACCGGCACGCAAGATGATACTCATAAACGCTGCAAGACGAATACCGTTGTTACGTCGCGTTACACGTTACGCCGACGTCGATGCCGAGAGGGTTGATTAATGCAAGAGTCGCCCGCTGCCGGGTTTCGGAATAACATTTGTGCTGCCGTGTCTCCCGGTCTTGTAAATATTAACCATCCGCTCTGTATCGGCGCCGGTTGATATTATAACGCGACTACGCTGGAAATCGCGATAGAACAACGAACCGTACTTCCAGGAAAAACATACCGAAATTCCGGAAATTCGGCTCCCACGTATGAATTTTTGATTCTGATTTTAACTCGCGGGACGACGAAGCTGCGGGAATCGACTATCCGTTCGGGTGACCGACGCGAATCGTGTCAGACGGTATTTTATTAACCGGTTCGAATCTTCGGTCAAAAAATCGTAAAATTCCGATAACTTTTCACGCGGCATTTTTCTGATTTGTGACAAAGATTTTGGCCCAAACGAGCCAGACTCGCGAACAGAAGGTCGGTCGAAACGTAAACATCGCGAGCCAGGCTCGCGGGCAGTAAATTCACGACCGTGATTGAGTTTTAGTTGCTATCAGTACGCCACAAGAGACTGTCATGATTCTTATAACCTCTGTTACAAAGCAGTTTAGCATCAGTCTGGTTTGTTTACCGCGCGTTGACGCCTTTGTCTAGCTAAATGCCACGGGAATGTATTAAATACATATATGGCGACAAGACTTTCGGAACTAAAACAATTCATTCTGAAATTGAAATTGAAATGTTACGATAATAAGTACCCAAGACAAATTTTAAGTTATGCAGTTTACAATTATTTAAAATCGAAGTTTTGATCTCGTAGACAATTGTACGGTTTTGGTGTGGCAGTCAATGCGTTAAACACTTTCTCGTGATACTTTACCACTTGTTTTTGTATCATATCTGATACTCGAATGCCTCGAAAGGTGTTATAAAGGGTTCTTCGGCTGTCCTAGGCGAAACGGTGTACGCAGCATCGAAAAAGACGAACACCGGGGGTGGAACCCTGGGACGAAGAACACGACGGGGTCACGCTAGTGCTCTGAGCAGCAGCTCGACGGCCAGCGACCGCTCGGAGACCGTCTTCCCCGACGAGCACACTCGCATGCATCTCACCAACGGTAAGCAAAACCAAACACCTTCCGACTTCATCCGCTTGCCATTTCTCGCGCCATTTCATCGTCTCTCATACTCGTCGTGCGCGTTTCCCACGTCGCGTCCAGGTATCACGTCGAGTTCTCCGCGAATCACGCGCGTAATTACCCGATAAAATAACGGTGCTCGCCGTACTGGAAACGTATTTCGATACACTCGAAAACCCCCGGATGAATTTCATCGATTGCCGCGAGGCGCGCCGGCCCACGGAAATCACAACGTAAAATTTCCCGCGGAGCGATAAGTTAACGATCCGTGCCTCAAATACGATTACCGGACTAACAGGATTACCGGGCCGGTATCGAGCCCCTGGCCGGAGTTAAATCAGGTTTCGTGTAAACGTGTTCCTCGTTAAAAGCTTAATATTAATAGTCACTGCCCTGCCCCCGCGCCGTCCGGGAAAGATCTCAGATTTCGACCATCGAACAATGGCCTCTTTCGTTCGGAACGTTTCGTATTTTGCTTCTATAGAAGCACGTAGGACATAACCCTTAATTATTTACTTAGGAGCCCTTTCTCGTAGCCTCCATATCAAAACAGCCTATAATTTCGAACCGAGACTCATCGCTAACAAGTAATTCCCCGTGTCTGGGGGGTTGGGGCGTCGTAAGAATTCGCGGTAATTCTCGAGGATATTCGCGGGGTCTGAGCACAATTAAATCCGAATTTCTTGCGGCGCGCGCGCGCGCGCGGCCGTGTTCCGACGTCGTAATTGCGATGCTTCGAGAAACGGCCGAGGGCGAGGGATCTTGAGCAAAGGCAAACGTTTCAGACGCCGCGACGGCTGCCGTCCCAACAGCGCGGTAATCGACAAACTACCTTATGCGTCGGCTCATTAAATAACCAAGGTACTCTCGGTTTTGAGAGTTAAGCTCATTGTTGTCGAATCCAGCGGCGACGACGTACGTTGGATGTAACTGGTAGTCGGGTAACGCGGACAAAGAGGGCGTGGAAAGGAACGAGAAAAGGAGAACGTGGAACAAAGGGGTGCGCAGAGGAGGCTGGTAACGGAGTTAGCAGTTAGGCGGGCTAGTTAGAGCGTAGGTCAGCGCGGAAGTTAGCCCGGCGACTATATTGTTTTGGAATGTCGGGGGTATTTAGGCTCCGGCCTGGTCGCGCACGACGCTCTGCCCTGGCCGGGCTTCCTCGGTGCGCCGCGTAACGCAGTTTTAGCGTTACCACGGAGATGAGAAAGTAGCTTTGCGGCTTCCGGAGTTACTCCCTTGGCCGATGGTGCGGCGGCCCGGGCAGCTAAACTTTTAAACGGAATTTCGCCGCGGGATCTCGTTTGCCGGGTGTTTCGTTGACGCCGGGGATCCCGGCCGGCGAATTAGTCTGCTCGCCGATATCGCGGAAACATCGAACGAAGGAGGACGTAGGAAGGTTGAGGTCAGGAGCGCCGGGCAAAGATCGAGGCTCTCCTGGCTCCACGGATCGTTGCATCCGGGAATTCAACGCCCGTTGCCGGAGCAGCCATTGCCTCTGCCCGCTCAAGTGTGATCGCATTACGCGTAGATTCCGTGGAAATTAGCGATGCGGATTAAGACCGGAGCTCCCTGCCGTCTATGTAGCGCTAGTCGGGCTGCCACGCGCACATAGGGCTTGTACATTATGTACCGGGAGCCTCTCTAAAGACGGATACGTGGCTACGAGTCTCGCCCTCGGGCCGACGTCGGTCGAGTGAAGGGCGCACGTTAATGCGGATCGCCGGATCGAACTTCCCGACGTTGATGTATCAGTGACACGTAAGCGACGACGTAACCGGTACACGGTCCCCGACGTTACCCACGCCGTGCAAACGATAATAATTCGAACGGTTGTAATAATTTCGCGCCTCGAAACACGTTGATTGCGCGTATTTCGATTGCAACTCTCTGCGTTGACGGTTGACAAAAGAATTACGGATAAAGTTGCAATATTATTTACGCGGATGGCGTATAGTTCCCTCGTGGCGCCCCTCGGAAGCGCGTCGCCTGCGGATAGAGGGTGCACGGACGCCCTATGGTACATTTTAGCGATGAAATTCATTCTCGGACCGTGAAATGAGAAATCGTAAAATCAATTTAACGTTTTCCAACGGCGCCCGTCACGCGAAGGGCGATCGTAACTTGCTGTTCGTTTCATCGCAGGGAAATGCCCCACTTTATAGAATAATAGGCTTTGATTCCAAAAAAAAAAATCATAATACGTACAATACGTGGTACGAATTTAACTTGATATCAACGTTTCGACGAAATAAATAGAATTGTAGGATTGGGAAGGGTAGTTTTTCGCGGATGGCTGGCAGATGTACTTACTTACGCGTACGTATGTATATTCGACTCCAGGACGTTGGCGTCGACGAGCGAGCGTAATTGTGTCGAGTCCCCGTTGGCCAGCAATTCAATAACGCGGTTTTCGGCTGGCCTATATTAAACTACGGTGATCTAATGTAATATCAATCGTCTTTCTGGCGGTGGCCGACGCGGGGTTAACGTGGGCAAGCCCTGACCGTTGGGAACCATTTGCTAATAGATGCCACGAGATGCCTCCATTAGACCGCAGGGACATTCCGGCAGGCAATATAGCGTCGAAGATTCAGACTAGAATTACGGTTTGCATGATGATGCCACTCGCGCGTTCAATATTCTCCCGTTTACACTTCGGACGGTATTTTTAATAATCGTTCGACGGGTCCTCGAACCGGGGCGAACAAAGATACGGGTGCTTTTTATTATTACACGCAGGGTGGACCACGTGGCTATAAACACTAATAAACATCGATTCGATAGGGTAATCTCGAATAGTTCCATGAACCTTAAGCGTCTTCCGGTTCAGTTCGTTCAAAGGCTAACTATTATCGCCCCGTTACGGACAGGATAAAAGGACGAAAGACAATTAAGCCAGTGAATCGAAGAACACGTGCTCCCCGATCGCGGGATTTCATTTCCTGAAATGAATCCGCGAGCCAGCAGATATGATATCGATCACCGCGACTGGCCTAGAAAATTTCGGTGCAAGAACCGCGTACGAGCATCGGGGTGGCCCGGAAAATATTTAGAAACAAAGATACAATTCTGTAATCGGTACAATTTTTTAGCAAAATGTGCTTCAGGAGCAACGACTCGTATTTTGTATCGGCATAGTATCACGGAGGGACGCGATTCTTATTTAAAAACATGAACGATGCAGGGACGGCCGTAGATCATGGCGGTCGGAATTATTTTTCGCTGCAGTTATGATTTAATCAACGAAACTTTTGGAACGCGCAATATTTTCTGGGTCACCCTAATAAATCCGTACGGTATACGATATTAGCTTATTCGACCGGGAAAAATGTTGTCGGATCGAACGATTGATCACCGATCCGTCGGATTATTTAAATTGCAAATAATGCGGGCAACGGCCGTATCTTCGGAACGGACGGGTCATCCGATCCCCCGAGCGGCGATTTAATGTGAAACACGATCGCCGTAGTGCCGTAACAATTTACAGCCAAAAGCTTCGGGGGAAAAACGGTGGAACATGGAAGAAATATCGATCGCGGTGGCAAGAAAATATTTTTTGTGTTCTTTTTTTTTTTTCGTTTTAATCGCGAACGTACGGCAAAAAGATAAGGACGAGCCGATCTGGATCGCGGCCAGGCTTTCCCGAAATAGGAATAATTTTAAGCACCACTTGAAAACTATGCCAATAGTCCGTGTTCGCCATTATCGTTACCGTTGCACTTCTTCCGCTTCGTTCCGGCTGAAAATCTACGACCGTGCGGTAACCTAATATCGAGCTTAATCGTTATATCTTCCGCAGCAAGCAAATAGAGAATCCTAGCGAAATTTTAATAACGGCCACAGTTTTAATAGCATTTCGATAGCCGCGAGTTTGAATAATTCTGTAATACCGAACTACGGTCAACGTACGATCAACAGTGAATTCGTACCAAATGTTTTCCCGATTAAACCGGCCCCGGCCTTATAACTCGAACCGCGCGCGCTGTTTGAATATTCGCTCCTGACGGCTCTAATTATGAAACTTCAATGCGATTTCAAATGCATCGCGTCAATTTAAAATTGCTTTCGGCGAAAGTTGTGCGAATGTGGAAGTTTCACTCATAAATATGCAGAAATTTAAATACGTACACATTACACTGTTTACCGTTTAAGCGATTCTAACACAATGGCGCACGGCGTGCGACGAACTTTTAAAAATTCGATTCCCTGTCATAAATAAGCTCCTACGGTACAAGTAATCTTTTTACATAAATTACGCTTTATTTTCGACGGAGGGGTGTTTGCATACAAATGAGTCGATAGAGAAAAGTTTCCTCGATATTTAGAGTACTCTTGTAGTCGGCTTAATAGCGTCCCTGTTTAAGAGAACCTCCCCTAAAATTCTGGATTTCAAAGTTACCAAAAGGTTTTGAAAAGGTTCTTCCGAACGCGGAAGTTGTAAAATTAGCTTTTGGGTGGAAAATGGCGGCTGTTGGAGCACCGTGCGGAGTAAGGAACGAATCTCGAGCGGTGCTGGAGTGGTCAACGAACGTTGCGACCGCAACGGTGCCGTTGTATCTCGGGAAATAATTCGTATTTACATGAATATGTACCGTAGGACGTGACGGAGGCATTAGACCATCAAATCGAATTACCAGCGCGAATCGCTAACCGCATCAAGTCACTGTCGGCCACCTTGCACACCCTTGCAGTGTCTGACTAACTCTATCCAGCGCCGACCACGGATGAGGGATAACCCCCGGCTCACCCCTTTCTGTCCGTTATGCTCCCGCGCGATCTGCGATTGGCTGCCCGGCGATTGACTAAACTTCCACTTTGTCAGTGTCTGGGTATCGGGATCTCGCATCTGATTAAGGGCGTAAATAAATAACGAGAAATCGACTACGGCTGGCGAAATACCCGCGCCGACGTCTGAAGAGGATTCTCGTTCAAAACGGTCCCGACAATGCCAATTTGCATGCGTTTCGTTTGAAACCCGGCTAGATGCGCGCGGCGAAATGGAATTACTTTGATAAATGCGCGGCCGTGATACGCACCGAACGGGCTAAATTAAAAGTTATAAATTTTCTTCTGTCGGTCGCAATAAACCAGACGCCGGTTTAATTTTACCTGGCCATAGTCGCGGCTGAATTTACTGGACGCTGAAGGTCTCCGACGTCATAAACTGTTTTACCTAATTCGTGACACGTATCTACTTTTATTTTTTATTCTCTATCGAGCCCCTACAACGTCGTCTAATTTTCTGTCTATTGTACCATCGACATCGAGGAATTCTATCGAAGTTAATACCACCAGACGCGGAAGAAAATTGATTTCGATTTGATGCTCGCTTCATTATAAACGGTGATCCATCACGGATCGCAATGCGATTTAAACCGCGTTCAATGACGACGCGTAGACCGACAAACGATCGAACTCGCGTGCTGGCGACAGTCTAGTTGTTCTTCTAGTTGTATTGTATTTCGTTCAATGTTTCATCGTGCTTGAAATAATTACGAAATTGAAGGTTGAATGGGGGAACGATGTGATTCGCGATGAAACAACGTTGTCATTACCGCGTCGATTTCGTTACGCATATCGAAGTAACACTCTTCGATAGACGCTTATTGCGTATAATTGAATTCCGAATCTCGTATTAAGACTCCCCGAATGCTTGGTCGTTTTAAAATTCTGCTCGAAACGTTAATTCGTCGCGATCGAGCCGTCCAGGATCGAAGGAAACGAAACGTTGGATCCGTTCGCGTCAGTCGCAATAAACGGCGTCGGGACGCGGACAGCCGTGAAAATAACTCATCGCGGATTCACAAGGGGCGAAACGACGCCGGCAGACGTTTTTCTCGTTCGTCGTCGGCGCGATATCGACTTGGTAATTGAGCGTTACAGGTGTTCCCAACACTCGAACAACGCCGAGCAAATTGTTCAATAACTGCAACGAATGTACATTTCGACGGTAAAGTTGTCCAAGATACGGGACGGACGCGGCTGCCGCTGACAGAAACGCATTGCGCGTTTCACGGTCCGGTTTAATTAAGCAATTATTACCGCTTATTACGGAAAATATCGTGCACGCCGCGCGCGGGAACGGTCTTCGTCCCTTGTTCGTCTGTAATTCGCACCGCTAACCAACCCTCCCGCTGATTCTAACGTAATTGTAACCCAACCGGGCAATCGTGTCCTCCAGTTCCCGTTATTTACTACTTTCGACGCTCTACAGGCTCTACCAATAGGAAAGTGCCAGCTTTACGAGACAAAATTTTAAAGTGAAGCTCCGCAATCGTGGCCGTGATAATTGTACAACGTCTGATAGAATCGCCGGTCAAAGTCGATCCTAGTTACAGATTCCGTGTTATGCGTCATCTGCTTAGCCGCAGACGCGAACGTGTTGCGCTCTGGTCTCAATTATCGCGCTGGGGGAATTTTAATGAAAAACGAAACGAGTCTCGCGCGTTAATGAGCAAAGTTTTCGACCTGTCGACGGCGGGGGTGGAAGCGAGTTTGAACGGTCTAATTACAGACGGACGATTCTTCGCGATCTAGGCCACGCTCTCGTTACACCGGTCGTTATCGTTTAACGTGACAGCGCACCGCCGTGTCATTCAACGTCGTTCATTTTATCCCCTCCCGCGTCCTTTTTGTTTCTCTTTTTTCTTTTTTTCTTCCCTTTTTCCTCGCTCATCGGCGTCGTTCACGCGTTAGTCTGGTTCCGTTCACCTCGCGGGAGCCGGCCTGACGTAACAGCACGTTTCAATTCACACAAGCGCACAGCCAACCTTGCCGCACTAATGCACTTTTCTCTCTTTGCACATTCCTTGACGCACAGGTCTGCCCAGGCCTATTTACTTCACAGGTATGTAAATTAAGTGTGACTGTGCCCGCTGTCTAGCACTCGCTGTTATGCTTTCAAAGAATATGCTCTTAGTATGTGTGCCGAGGAACCCACTGTTTCGCGTAATTGAACATTATTTGCACGGAATTGCCTCGCTACATGACCGCGATTCGGATTCGCTTCTTGATCGAGTTAAATTAAATAGAAAATTACTCTGGTCCAATTAACGAGGTAATACTGTCTAAAGCAATGCTTTATTTAACAGTAGAGCACATCATGTTACTTCCAACGAATCAAGTAGCTCGTTTTTAACAATTTTCGCGCCCAGATGTATGCAAACAAGAACAAGTTGCAATCGCCGAGTTAATAGATTTTAATCCAGATGGTCGAAGACCGAAATTCCATTATCCAGCATCGGAGTTGCCGCAGCCAAGTTACACAGCTTCGCGAGAGCGTAATAAACCACCGTATTGCAGTTAACCTTGATTTACAATAATGTGCCCTGTAACATTAACAGCCCCTAATGGTTATACATTGCTTCAATTATATATATATACATATATATATATACATTTAACGCACTATCGATGCTCCGCGCGATCGTTCCACGTTACAAGCTGTTTCCGTTGCTCTCGCGTGTTCTTACACGCAACGTACACGGATTATATTTATAAACTACAGCTTACGGGCAAGCAAGTGTGAATAATTCGCGCCAAACTTCCTAATCACGCTCGACGAACGAGTATCAAAAGATACGTCTCTCTATAATTTAGATAAGGCTCTTTGTCGAGTTCGTTCATTCGTAACAACGATAACGCGAATGATGTTGCCGATAGAACAAGCGACACGTGATCCACTGACACACAAAATCGTTTTCAACGTAACGTGTAACGAGTTATTTCAATTTTGCCCATCCCTGGTTTATACCCAGCTCCCGCGACGTAATCTACACGCTATGAACTGCATCCAAGTTACTTATCGTGCTACAATTAGTAATATGTAATACGGTATTAATCATGATCGCAGTACTACATCGTGTCGTGGCACCAGAATTATTCAGAAAAATATGTCGTGATAAGAAAATGTTGCTGGAGAAAATTGTTACATGGTTCGATCGTATCTATCTTTCTGGGAATTGTAACTGCGTGTGCAGTCCTTTGTTGTCGGTGTAAGTGGCGTCACGCAATTGAAACGAGAAAAGATAAAATGGTGTACGTGTATAGCCTCGCTTCTTTTTATTGGTGCAACGATGCGCTCCAAAACACAATTGCAACTTTCCTTCTCGAATAGGACAATGTTTTACTAGTTTCGAGACGCGCACGATTTTTATTTTCAATTAATAATTCATATATGTGGGATGCTGGGCCTGGCTCGAGGTGTCGTATTGAGAGGTATGAATGGAATGTATTGGAAATGTATTTGGTTGTATGTACTTGGAATGTATAATAAGACGTCGAAGAGAGCGGATTCTTAGAAGAATAAAAGCATTTTGATTGTTGAAAGTGGCGAGTTATTGTTCCCAGAATTTCCCACATATATGAATGGCAGTTTGCGTTTGCTATTCAAACTTTCCGTTTTAAAATTCATCAGAATTTTTGCTCGTGTCTGCGACCGGGGCTCTTAGTACCCGTTTCGTAAATTCGACTAAACGATCTCGAGAGTGTTTATTTTCCGACGATGTGCGCATAACGCGGTAGTGCTTTCTCGAATATTTGTGCTGCTCCCAGCATGCCTGGCAGCCCATCCTTTGTGCCCTTTATATTTAGGTAACTTTAATTATTCGCCGGGAAGAGTTCCTTACAAGTTTGAATAACTTTATAAGCAACTTGACTTCGAAACGCCCGCAACACAGAGCCCTAAGGGCCGGAACGTCGTGGCGTGGGCGGAAATGAAAAATTTTTAGAATTGCCGTTGCGGCTTTGACGTTGTAATAAGCGTTTATATTTAAAACAGGGAAAACTGAACGCCCGCCAAAGGTGAAAATTGGCTTCCACCGTTAGTTCACGCGCACGGCTTGTTCGGTGTATTTAGTTTACGTAAATCGTGTATCGTGTATATTTATACACGTAATAACGATGATCAAACATTTGCATTAATTCAATATAATTAACTGATTAAGTATCATTCTGAAACAATATTAATACGGAACAAACCTGGTATTGGATAACCAGTTTTTATTTCGATTCCGGATAGATACGAGCACTTGCGAATATACCATTTTAAATAACAGATTAGCCCATATCGCTGTTACTTCATTTTCGAAATACATTTTCGTTGTATTTAACGAAACGATATCGAAAATAATCATTTTTAATTCGATGTAACGAAGTAACGAACTACTCTTTGCATCATTAAAATGTTTAAACGATATATTTAAAAGGTAATTGTTTAATTAAATTCAAATACACGACAAATATAGTTTCGATAACGTCGCGAGAGAGGAAAGATTAAGATGTTTTGAATAGTTTAGCTTTCATTTTGGTCTCGAAATTTGCCCGGATCTGCTCTCATACACCGAACCCTCCGCAAAGGAAGAAGCATTTCACACACTCGAATCCCAGCCGCGCACACGCGAGCAGGTCGCATCTGCGGCAGAGAAACACACTCGCATTTGCATTTTGCGTCGCGCAGCTATCGCAGCTTTTGATGTGCACTTTTGGATAATGACATCGATATTATAATAATGCGGTTAATACCCCGATCGTAAGGTTCCCCTATTCAGCCGGTATTTCTCTCTCTTTTTTTTTTTTTCCACCGCGCGCGTCGAGTAATCGAACACAGCGTCGCGCGAAATAGGTCCTTCGTACCCGCATGCATGAAACGTAATTAGGAGATGGTTAGTTATTGATGCCGTTTAATTGCTCGCATTTCCACCGGCCAGTAATCGGTATTACGTGAATGCCGCCGCGAATAAGGGGACGCAAATGAGAGAGAATGGTCTTTAATATAATTGTGCCGGTACATAAATCATTCGGTCATAAAATAAATGTATGTCGCGCGTCGCTCCTGGCGCAGCTTTCCAATTTTATAACTTTTTCACAGACATCGATGCATTTTTTAATGAAAGAAAAATGATATAGTATTACTCTTACCAGTTTTGATAGATAATTAAAATAACAGACCCCCCGATGCTTTAGACGCACGCATAGAATGTGGTTGGCTGGCTCGAACAAGTACGAATTTCCGCACGTTTCTTTCCAGACACGGGTAGAGATTCACCGCCGGAACCAGCGCCACCGGAAGTGCCGCCGCGTGGCCCGTCTCTCCACGCGACTCACACTCTGCGGTCGCAACAAAGTCGAAATGGCTGTCCACCGAATGCAACGGGAAACTTCGCTGTGCCAACCGAGCAAATGCAGACGGAGAAATATTCGGGTAAGTCGGAATTTTCGTTTTAAAAATTTGTCTGGATCAAAGGCTCTCGGAGCTCGAGTATGGTTGGTATCGATCAAGCAGCGTCGCAACGTGAACCCTTGTATCCCCGCATGACGATCGCTGACGCATCGGATTAAACTTGCGCGCGATTGCTCGAAATTAATTAGCGAACGGCTGACGAAGTGCACGCGTGGGCGTCGTTTCTCATTATTTCCGCGGCCCTTCGCGCTTTATTGAAACCCCGAAGATACATTACCGATGCAGCCGCCAGTTATGAAACTTTCGGAAAGATAAAATCTCCGTCGAGTGAAAAGAGGAAGTCGGGCAACCCGTCTTCCGGCTCGAACGAGGGGCAGGGAGGAACGTATTAAAACTGATTACTATTTAATTCGACGGTCTGCGAGGTCAGAGAACACCGAAACGCGGTGGGATTAAAAGCTGGAGTTACCAGATACGCAAAGGCGTGTTCGGGCACGAAAATTGAAACGCGACAAGGTCGATCGTTAGAAATGGCTGTTCTGGATCGTGATCGATCCGCTCGTTAAAGGGTTTCCGGTTTCGGGAGAGCGAGTCGTCGACTCGGTTGGAAAATCCATTCGAGAGAACCGCCACGCCGGGACAGCGCTAGATAATGCGGTTCAGTTTTCAGCGAGTAGTGTTTAATTTTGCCGCGTACCCGATTCCCCGGGTTATGTAGATGCGGAGAGGTCGCGAACGTTGGAAATCTGTTTAAACTAATGGCGAAGTAGACCCGGGGATTTTGCATTAACGCCCCCGTTAATTCATTGTAAATATACTCGGTGTGTATTCGTTTCTCTATATTTCTATGTACATACCATTAGTATATTGCCCGGCGACTAAACATCGTTTGTACCGGTCGTTACAGCCCCGCGGATCTCGACTGCGAGAGCGCGACACACACGCGCACACTACTCCAGCCACGCGTGTACTGTGTGTTATACGCGCGATTTACATACTGCCGCGTTCGATTCGCGTTCGCCGATGCTATAAACACTTCTACGATAATAGGGACGCGGTATTAACAAGCGTGGTTATTCGCGATCGTTAATCATCGAGGCTGCCTGGAGACGATATTTTCGAGCGCCCCGGCGTGTTACAACGCTCGGATCGGAGTTCGATCAGCCTCGACACCTGTCCCGATCTCCCTCTATCCCTTCGACGTTTAAACATTTTTCGAGTCGTTGAACACGAAATCCGAGATAACAATGTTTACCCACGTTACACGGTGTATCTTTTCCTCGTTCCTCGAAAGTCGCAGATTTCCTTTAGCGGGCTGCTCGCATAAACATCTTCCCATTCTTCCCGGGGTTTTGGTTTAATTTAAAATTCAGAACTAACGTTGCACGGAACTGCATAATATCAGAACTATAAATTCGTTATGACTGCAGACTGTTTGCTTCAATAATATTGCTCCACATTTTCCTCGCGGGTCGCTCGACTCCGGCAGAGTCTCGTGTACACAAATACTGTTGGTAAATTATACCCTTGCTAGACGTCTACCGTCTTGATTTATTCCCGAAAAATCACAACCGACAGTAACGTCTCGATACCGTGGCCGCGTGGAGTGTATGAATTCTATTTTATAGCCGCGCGGTGTTTTATTCAATGCGATTACTTCCGGTCGCTCTGTAAAGCAGTACGGAACGATTGGATGGCTCTGTATTTTCCTAGGATCACCCGAATTTTACGGGGGCAGCGTTTCGCCGGTGTATCGTTGCCCGATGCATGGCTCGCTATGTTTACACGCGAATTTATAGTAATGCATTCTCGATAAGCCGTATCGCTTTAACGGAGCGCAAAGGTTCATTGAATGCGGCGATCCTTTCCACCGTGAAAAATCAATACCTCCATTGCCGACCTTGTTCCAATTTTTATGCTCCCTAATGAAAACAAACAACAAAACACTTTCGTAGTCCCAGTTAACAGTAAAACATAGTAAAACCGATTATTCGAGAACGATCGAATTTGGTATGCCTTTCCACGATAGTATCGCGGTTCGGTCTTGAACCAGCTTTATATCATTAATAATACACAAACTGAATGCACTGTAATTATATTCCAATTATCGTGATACTGTCGTGTAATCATAATCGTAAATCATTTAACCGTATAATTATCGTGCAATTTCCGTGTAATTACGGTTTAATTACACTGCAATTATAATGCATCTATTTCGTGGATGTAATCTTGGTAAATGTAATCGATAGATCGCGTATGTTCGTCCGAATATAATATTTCAACACATTCTTCTCGTCCGTTCCGGGCACAGGGGACTATCTAGCGAGCAATCAGGGGATCTCGGGAATTGAAAACTGGCCGTTTTCGGGGCGCGTTAAGTCCGTCGATAAAGCGTCAACAGGCTTGATGCTGCGTAATGGCGATAGTCGAAAAATCGCGCGTACCGCCATGCTTTTCGAGATAATACCGTGCATTACGAGGCGGTAACTCACGAACGGACGCGGGGTACTGGCGAGTGACGATTCTTCCGTGGACAATAAAGCATCCAGCCCTCCATCGATGGCCTCGGACCGATGGTTGCCACTTGTAACCCGCGGCAACCCCCATCGCGCTCTCCGTCTCTCCCCTCTTGCGTTTCCGACGCGTAATCAGGTTTCCGCGGTGTATATCAAATTATACGCATGGGGGAAATTTTACTGCTCTCAAGGCTGCGTACGACTGCACCGCGACGCGACAATGACGCGGACGTCCTTTTCACGAGAACTAAAACTCCGGAACGTGTCCAGCGTTTTCGCCAACAGAGCTGGATTCCCTTCGTTTCTGACGCGACCATGCGTTTAGACATTTTTCAAACGACAAGGGGTGCAACTAATATTACGCTCGCAAGTTTGAGTATCTATAAACGCTCGTAGTTTCGAAATTAACTCGACGCTATAGGCTATTGTTCGAACGCGCTGAAGTTACTGATCGATGTTCTCGAAACCCATAAACAACTGTATGGAAACTGTCGCCGACAACCCCCCCAGCGGTTTCCCGTGTTATCGAACGTTCCTCGGACACGATAAGACCGGAAATCGCGGGTGTGTGATTCGCCTCTGCGAAAGAAATGGCGGTTCGCGTATTTTCCGTTCTCGCCCCGGCGTCGTTCCACGCAAATTACCTCGTGGCCTATGGTTCGCGGCCGGGGGAACGAAATTCACCGCACCCCCGAGAGCGTCTACGGGGAGAACGGATATTATTATCCGGGAGTGCTTAAGCTTTACGTATTTTTGCATAACCGGAAATTAGAAATAATTATTGTTGCACCTTCGGGAGCGACGGCGCGTCTTCGCTGGATTCTGTTTAGGGAAAAATAGAGAAACGTGCTCGCGGAATTACCAACGCCATTTTTCTTCGTGTTGGACTTTCCGGACTGTGGATTCAATTTTTTTATACGATCGTAAATAACAAAGACATTATACGACGCGTCGCTGTAAATAACGCGCTGTCGCTTAACGATGTCTCGTGACTTCGGCGTCGAGTCGAAGTAGTTTGGAAGTTTATCAAGACGCGGCGCTTCTCTGTTTCTCTTTGAAGTCCTCTGTAACGTTTCCTCCTCGACCTCTTCGAGCAGTCCTCGTTGCAGTAATTATGAACTTGGACCAAACTTGTTTGATCGTTCGACTAAAAGTAACGCGCGAATCTGAATAAAAGGCCACTGAAAAACAAAATTCCGGTATACGCTGTGGCTGAGGAACATACACCCAACCGAACATGGATCGCACGATTTTTTAAGTCTTTAACGTTGATCTTTCAACACTGTTCGATATTTCCAACACACTGTAGAGTCTCGAGGATCTACAACGTACCAAAGCTTTCAAGATGGCGAGCTTTCAGAAGTTTCGACTATTTTAAATTCATTAGGATCACCGAGTCAAACTAAATTTTGTAAAATCCGTAGTGGTATTCGCTGCAATTTTATAACTTTCGTACGATATAATTACTCTAAAACTTGTGACTGAGTACGTAGAAGAAAGAGAGAGGGGGAGGGGGAAGATTGAATTTAACCTTCTTAATCTTGAATTTCTCGAAATAAATATTCATCGAAAACATTGAAATATTTGTAGTCAATTATTTTCAGTACGTCTTCGATTCTGTTTTTGTCCAGTTTAATAAAAGACGCGAGTCACGCGCGCAACAGCGCATAAACGTATTAAAGCAAAAGCTTGTATCAGAGTTGTTAAACAGTATAAAATAAACTCGGCGTTACGTAGAGAAATAGAAGTAATTAAGGCTGTTTTGCCTTTTATATGGAAATGCTCCTCTTTCCTGTGAAACAAGCGTACAAATTGAGGTTATAATCGTATTTTATCGCGTACGATGTTGAAATTCTAATGCAAAGAATAGAGAGTACAACGGTGCGTGAGCAAATTGTGGATGGTTTTCTACCGGAGAGAAACAATTGCGGCGCTTGAATATAAAATTAGATTCGGCCGGACATTAAATCCAAATTTAAAAGCTGCTTGTAACTCTTGCACGTAGAAACGCAAACATGATGCAAGCCAAGAACAGGAAGGTTCAATTGTCCTGATCTAGGTGTGAAAATCCGAAAAGTTTGAGCTCGTAGAGGTTCGCGTCGATCGCTGACAGAGTTCTCCGCGACTATATTAATCAAATTTCTGTCCACTTTGTTGTCGTGGGGGATGGCCAGGCATTAGGAGGGAAGTTCCGTTCAGGGGCTAGAAGAAGGCAAACATTCGTCGGGTTTCCACCCCCCGCGTGGGTAAACAACTCGCGCCGACTGCAGGATCGAATTCGTCCTCCCAGGACTCGGAGGCACTCGCGTACAGAGAAACTCTCCCGTCGGAACTCGAAACGATTAAGGGTGCCCTTTGAAACGCCGTGGTTGCCGACGCGGGGGGGCTGGAGTTCGCGGAAGACCGGTTGAAATAATGTAGTGCGGGGGTTGCGGCAGTCGCGGAAGCTAATAACTGCGGTTGCTGGATCTGATGATATTTATGCTCGCGGAGAGGCCAAAGACT